ATAAAAAACTAAATCTCTTTCCCTGTCACAGAGGACAGTGACTTTTCCCCCCCCCCCCCCCCCCCCGCTTTCTATTAGAAACATTTTAGTGACGTTGACCAAAATCAGGCATACTCTGATTAAGTATGATGACTTATCTCTATTTAATCACATGGATCCTTTTCAAAGTTAATGAGCTGTTTCTGCTAGCTCTTATTTTCTTCATGAATTTCTATTGGGGACTTCCGTTTTTTCTTTATTTTCTGTTCAGATTACTAGCTATCCTTGTCCTCCAAGGGCATAGGAATGCTGTACTTACAGAATAGCATGTATACCATTGGAGTGACACATGATTTGAAGTGCCAAGACAATAAATTATTAGTCCTCTAGACCTACTCGAATGGTGATGTTTATTCTTGTTAGAGGTGATTTATTAGTTGGAATGCCTTTACATTTTGTTCTTCAAGATTTTTTTTTTGTGGGGGAGTTTTTGTTTTTCCTGAGGATAACCGGTTGATTGATAACCCAAGTCTCAGTGGGTCGAAAGAAATACTTGGACTTGTGTAGTGGTGTGAATGAGAATGACTCTCATAGGCTCATATATTTGAGTTCCCAGTGGAACTGTTTGAGAAGGATTAGGAGGTATGTGGCCTTGCTGGGGGAGGAATGCTACTTGGGGTGAACCTTGAAGTTACAAATGCCCATGCCATTTCTAGTTAGCTCTCTACTGTGCTTGTGGATTGAGAAGGGCACTCTCATTTATTGTCCCAGTACCATGTTTGCTTGCTGCCATGCACCTTGCTGTGATAGTAATAGACTCTAACCCTCTTAACTGTGAGCCCCAAATTAGATGCATTTCTTTTTGAAAGTAGCCTTGATCATGTAGTTTTATCATAGCAATAGAAAAGTAACTAAGGCAGCTAGTTACTGTCATTAAAATCTTCATTGACTTTTGTAAAGTAAATGGGAACCAAATAAATTGTTGGCTTGTGTGTATATTGGATTGGATTTACACAATGAGAAATCCTTGGCATGGAAAAAAAATAAAAAACAACAACAACAACAAAAAAAAAACACTAGATCTTAAATGTTTGGAATACTAATTGTCCCATGATAAATAAAGCTTAGCTTTACCTTCCAAGGATTTCTGCTCAACTTTGGTCTCTTCCTGACATTAGCTGTTAAAGTCTTGTGAACTGATTCACAATTACTGAGATTTGGATTTGGAAAGGGCAATGTCTTAACATCTTAATCCCCAACATGTAGCAGAGGCATGTAGTGCTCAGTAAGTTGTCTGAATAATTCAGCTGTGTTGCTTCTGCCAGCTGTTCAGGAGTCTCTCTTATTGTACATGTGTGTGAATTCAAGCCTTATTTTTCTTTCTTTATAAAGTGCTTTTCTTTAAATATTGAAGTAAATTCTTTACATTTCAAATATTTATGATGGAAAGTTTAATTTATGACATGCATGTGTAGCAGGTATCATCTTTGCTGCTGTAGGACTTGACCTACATTTAAAAATTAGTTTTGTGTGTAAATATGTATATGATGAGTACATGTGTGTATGTGTGTGTTTGACAGTGCATGTATGTGGAGATTAGAGGACACCAGGTGCCAGTTCTTGCTTTCCACTTTGTTTGAGAAAGGTCTCTTGTGTTCCCATGTGTTTGCAAAGCTAGCGGGCATATTAACTTCCAGAGAGTTTCCTGTTTCTGTCTCCCATCTTGCCATAGGAGCACTGGGATTACAGATACCTGCATTTACATGGGTTCTGGGGATATATGAACTCAGATTCTCATGCATGCACTGCAGGTACTTTACCCACTAAGTCATCTCCCTGACTCTGATGTGCATTCCTTTATCAAAATACATACTACATTGTGTTGCTAGATTGTATATCTCATACACAACTAGACTGAACCCTATGAGTCCCTGAGTTCAGAATCTCTTGTTACTTTGCTATCTTCAGCAGCTTATCCAATATCTGGACTCCCAGAATAAATGAATGAATGATGCAAAACATCTTGGGAAGGTAGCAGTTTTATTAGGTTACAATAAGCTCTTACTTTTATGATATTTGACTAGGTTATATTTCAAAAGAATGGATGTAGAGACTATGTCAGGCTAGAAGATTAATGAATGGAAGTTTGCAAGCTGCTGAAATTGCTTGTATTGTCAGAAACTGCCTGTGTGTCTATAGGGCTGCTGAGTGATTGGAAGCTGTTTGTACCCATGCTTGCATATCTGTAGGGCTGCTGAGTGATTGGAAGCTGTTTGTACCCATGCTTGCATGTCTGTAGAACTGCTGAGTGACTGGAAGCTGTTTATACCAATGCTTGCATGTCTGTAGAGCTGCTGAGTGATTGGAAGCTGTTTGTATCTAAGCTTTCATGTCTGTAGGGCTGCTGAGTTGAGTGATTGGAAGCTGTTTGTACCAATGCTTGGCAGGACTTAGAAAGCAGAACAAATACAGATGTACTGTTTTTGTGAGACTTGGGTAGCTACAGTCTTGAGTCTGCTGAACCAGTGCAAGTGCAGTTGTCATTTCAACTTCCCTCTGGTGTATAGAGCTGGTGGTCAAGCCAAAGCTTGGGTTAGAGTAAGATAGATTAGGGGCATTGGAGGAGGGAGAGGCAGGCACTGACCAAAATGCTAACAGTACTGTATTATGGTTGTGCTTTTTGAACACTTATTTCTGCTACTGTTGCTAGCTGTGTGACCTTGGGCTGATCACTTGTTTTTTCAACCTGTAAACTAGTAGTATTTGACTATTCTAGACTACCTCTAAAAGTATTTAGGATCAGATGGTTGTAATCTAATCACATGATTAAATGAGCCCATGTCCATAAATGTTGGCTATTATAGTATGTTTATAAGTCCTAGAAAGATGAAGTTGAGAGAAGGTCCCCCAAGGCTAAGACCATACCTGCCCTTTCCACTGTTGTGTTTTAGCCATTGATGTGTACATGGAAACTGTCTAGGACATGCTTGTTGAATTACTAAAGGAAGATGATTAGGATAGTTTTTAGAGACCAGTGGAGAGTGTTTTTTTCTTAAAATGTCTTTCTCATATGAAGATATTTCTGCTTCCTAATGCCCAGGCACTGCATTCTCTCAGCATATCTTGTGTTGCTATGGACTAGACCAAAGAAACGTGTCTAAATCATTTAAGTCTTGCATCAGTGGATCTCTTATGAGGAAGGGCTGGTGTTTTGCCAATATTTGAATCCCCAAAGAATACCAACAACACATCTGAAAGTGAAGTTTCTATCTGAACATTTATTCCACAGTCATAGAAACCGAAGATGGAAAAGACCCGAGGACATCTAGTCCATCCCCGTGGTTGTACAAGAAAAGTGGCTGGAGCAAAACAGCCTGTTCACATCATGCTCACAAGACAGCGTTTCAGTTCTTGGAGCGGAGCAGTTGCACACACACTGAAATGAAGACGCAGAGCAAATACTCTTCACAGACCTTAAGGAAATACTTAGAAGTACTTCATTTTCATAAAATGATTGGCAACTAAACGAAAGAGAGTGAGGGAATTCCAAGATAGGATGTGTTTGGCAGAAATGGGAGAGTGGGGTGGGGAGAAAGGCACAACAAAACAAAGCAGGTGGTGAAGTGGTTTTAATGACTAGAAAAGCAATTCTGCTGAAGACAGTGGATTTGCAGGGTTGCCTTTCCAAAGATGAGAGGAAAAGAGACTCCAAAGTAGTTTCCTTTCCTTTCTTGATCCACCCAAAGGGGTGCTCAACCATGCCCTAAGGTTCTAGCAGATCCAACACTGTGGAGTTACCTTGATGATTCAGTTCTGGTCTGCATGGCTCCACATACCATTTCTCAGCTATAAAGGAAGCAGCCATCCCTGAACAGGGTTTGTGCAAATTGTGTGTATAATAGGAAATCCTGGTTTAGTACAGACCCCACTTTCTTAGGTCTGTGTGGCTTCCTCCTTGGCTGTGCCAGCTGTTCTAATATGCTTTTATCGTTAGAGGAATACTTCTTTTCCTCTGTGGCAAATACATTGTGGAACCTGTAGTCGAAGAAACCAGCTTACCCAACCATGCTTTGTGTGTTTCCTATGTCAGGCTTCCTTGGAGAATGGGCCATATCCCCTTGAAATGTGTGTGGGACAGTTGGCCAATCTTTTCCAAGTTTTCTAGTACCAGAGCCTGGATGGGAATAGAGGATTTCCTGATTCCACAAAATGGGAGTTCAGGTGGCAAGGCAGCATCCCTTAGTTCATTACAACAGCAGTGCCCCTGGAAGCTTTCTGTGAACCTGAGGGATAGGTGAGGGAACTGAGGTGGAGCAGAACAAAAGTTTGGAAGGACTCTCCCTTTCATGAAATCTTTGTACAAAACACAGCACTGTTTCACAAATTGCAAAACACTTTTCAATTACTACCATTAAAAATTTTGCTATTTATCATGAAAACTGCTTCACAAGCAATTACTTTTTTTCTTCACCCAGGACATTGAAAGCATTTTAAGCAGTGCTGACAGCAGTAAGCCTTTTTATACTCTTGTTGCTCCTTGTTGCATCCTGGCCACAGTATTGGCCAAGTAGTTCCTCTTAAGAGCATGCAATGGTTCTCTGCCCTGTGGGTAGGCAGGATGCTCTGCAAAGTGATCACCACTACTCAGAATGCCTCAGTAGAGAAGCTTAAGATAAAGCAGATATACAAAAATCCAAACTTACAAAACAGATACTGTAAGGGAGAATTGGTTGCATTACAAAAGGATTCTTTACAAAAGAATTCACTTCTGTTCCCTTAAATAGCCAGCCTCTCAAGTGCAGTCAGAATATGAGTTGTTGCACAAATGTCCATGTACCGCAGGAGCATGGCTGACATGTGACTTGAGGTACATTATACATCAGCCTTGCAGGCTGAGCAGGAATCCAGGAATTCTGGGAATAGTGTCTCCAGGGTGTTGTTAGATAGAGATAGGTGGGAATGGCTAAGGTATGGAACCTTTCAAAGGCAGCTGAGGCCTGCTGGGGTGAGAGTGTGGGAGGGTATGAGGGTGTTGCAAAGCACTTTGTCCCCTTTTGTTTTCAGGGCTTTCCCCCTGATTGTAATGTTTAATTTGTGAGACTGAAGTCTGTTTTTACAGTCCCCTTGCCTCCTCTTGAATACCTGAGCTTACTTATACTCCTAGGTGTTCTGATTACAACTTAGGGTACTATCTTTATCCAGGGGTCTCTGCGACTCTTGGTGGAGTGCAGACATTGTGTCCCAAAGTCGGGGGAGTTTCATGACAGAAGCCCCATTTAATGATCTGAGCTGAGCACTTGGTGGCGCAGTGTTGGGCATTCATTGTAGACATGAAAATAACTGAACAAGCGAGCCTGGAGAACATGAGTCAGCATTGATCAACAGGGAAATCTACTCCTAAATGGAACCCTGGTGTTAAGGTGGGGATGTGGAAACCAGTCAGTAGTTGAGTGCTAAAGTAAAAGAAGACAAGACGACAGACTCCTTCCTTCTTCTCACATGCCTGGAGGTAGCCAAACTTCCAGAGTGGTGCTTCTCTGAGAGTAACCTTAGGACTGTGGTGTGTTCCGGGGTGCTGGCTAGCATTAGGCTTCTGAGCCCACCTCCAGGCCCTCCCAACATAACTCCTGGCAGTTGGCACCTGGATGAGGGCCTTTGGGAACTTATAGGAAGTCTAGACATCTCATGGTCCATTCCCTTCTGCCCACCAAGTAATAGTATGACTAGAAGGTGATGCCTGAGCAGAGGGACTGCTATTTAATCACATCCACCCCTGAGGACATTATATGGAGCCAGGAGGATCATCAGACTAGAAGCTAGTATAGTTCATCAGAGACCAGTAAGTGTAAGGACGGGAGATGGTAAAGTAGGGCAGACTCCATTTGATATGTGGTGTTCACAGCCCCCTGGTTGCTTCTGGGGTTCCTCAGGCTAAGAGAGGTGACCACTGATCTGAAAACAGCCTCACATGGTATGCAAAACATTTTTCTTAACAGTGTCAGTTCCCAGACCCTGTTAAAGGCATTAACTATGGGATAGCACAGGTTCCTGCTAAGGACATGGCCTTGTTCTGTTTCTCTGTCCTTTATAAAAGGCACACGCTGTGGTGGAAGTATAGTGCAATACATCCTGTAGCCAAATTGCCTTTCGGGCCCAGAACTTTTTTTTAAATGTACCTGTGCATTGTTAATTCCCCATCTGTCTGCCCTCAGCTATCACTCCCTGCTTCCCTTTCCCTTTCATAGTGGTGCATCAACATGTTTGTACTAAATGTTAGCTGGGATGGGCTCAGAGACCCCGAGCTAGCTGCCCCAGTGTGTGGTGCTAACTTAGCCAGTCAATCCTTCCCCGTGGTAATTCTGAGCTTTATTTATTTATTTTCATTTTTTATGTATTTGATCTGCCCCTGTTTTCCTGGCTCTTACCTTGGTTATTCAGATTATAAGATCAAATGTAGATTGGGGAGTTGTATCAAATCTGCAAACCTGGATAATTTCTATTTTGTAATAATATTAAAAACCAACCCAGTAAGACAGGTGTGAGCAACGATTTTTATCTCTTGTTGAAATGCAGAGAAAGGGCTAAAAACCAGAAATATTATCGTGGCACCAGGTGAAAAGGTTGACAGGAGCCAGAGTTCCCTGGCTGCTCACTGGTCCCCTTGCAGACTTTACCCCTAACTAACTCTAGGTTCCTGCTGTGGAAAAGATTGATACCCTGGGGACCTGGGGGCATGTGTGGGAAGAGCTGCTGCTGCTGCAGCTGCTGCATGTTAGGCTGATAACAGCGCACTTCACTACCAGTACCCACACCTGTGTCAGTCAATACAAAAGAGCTTTACAAAGTGCCTCCAAGGCTTCAGAATGCCAAGGGCTGAGAAAGGGGGGTCATGGCACTACCTAGGATTCGCAAGTCCGATTTGTCCTTTGATACTCCTCCAGCTCTGTTTTCCTGCTTACAGCCAACTGCAACTCTTGGCGGATCACTTGGATCTGCTTCTCCAACTCGGAGAGTTCCTGCATTACTGAGTTCCGGGCTATATTGAGGGAGTCTGCTTTCCCATTGGTGGTCAGTGAGGCAGGGAGCTCTCTTCTTCTTGGAGGGAGAGGGATGTCCTGGTGGGTCTGGGCACCCAGCTGATTTTGTCCTCCCTCGTCACTAAAGATGTATTTTCGTTGGTTGTCATGACTCAGATTAGAAGTATTCCACACCATGAGCTGCTGGGGTCCCATGTTGGATCTAGGAAACATAGACAATTCAGAGTCCCCTTCTGTCCTGCAACCCCATCTTCTTCATCAGCTATGTGAACAACAGAGAACTCGTTATGTTTGTAGAATTGAAGTCGCCAAGCCATGAGTGGACTGCTTAGAGTGCCATGGGGAAAATAGGAGCCATGGACTGAATTGAAGGTTTTACCAAGCCTTATGCTGATGTGACACACAAGTTGGATGTCTTCTGGTTAAGTGGGAAATGGTACATTGTCTTATGAATTATTTAAAACACCTCTGTGTGTGTATGTGTTAGGGAGGGAGGGAGGGAGGGAGGGAAGGAGGGAGGGAGAGAGAGAGAGAGAGAGAGAGAGAGAGAGAGAGAGAGAGAGAGAGAGAGAGAGAGAGAGAGGTGTGTGGGTGGGGGGTGGGGTTCATTGCCGGGATAAATACATGTTGAGGTCACAGCAAGACATCTTGTGTCTCTACCACATTATTGCTTTAGACAGGGTCCACAAAGTTACCATTTTGGCTAGGCTGGCCAGCCAGCAAGCTCTTAGGATCTGTCTGTCCCCATCCCCCAATGCTGGGGTTGCAGGCACATTTAATAATGTTGAGCTTTAAGTTGGGTGATGGGGACTCAACTAGGTCCTCTTGCTTGCAGAGCAAGCACTCTTACTTGTGGAGCCATCCTTTCCACACGCAGGTACATTTTTATACCTTACCTATAAGCAGTGCTCAGAAAGCAGTGCTGCCTGGAGATATCCTATGGCTATAGAGATGAATAAGACTGAGAAATCTTTGTTCAGATATAGTGCTCTAAGCCCTGGTTCATTATTTTATGGCTGACTTGTATCCCTTCTGGGTTAGACTGGGCTTCGGGGGTGAATAAAGGCATATTCTTGTTTCTTTCTACAGGAGCAATTTTTGCAGATTGATAATGACAAGTCAAGTTTGATGCTTAAAAACAACAAAAATAAGAGCACCCTTGATTCTTGCTGAGGTGGTGATGATTAGATATAGATTTACAATTCCTTCATGCTTGCATATACCACATGCCACCATCATGAAGACACAGCTGTAGGTTGCTCGATGGGTATGGGAGGGAGCTGGGTAAGTTTCTAAATACACCTTGACAGTTGGAGGCAATAAGAAGCATTTCTATCCCTGTGAGATCAGCTTAGTCTAAGCGGTGTGACTGCTGATTCCTTTTCCTCTGGAGGAGGAAGAAAAGTATGACCACTTTTGCAGTTTACCCTGTGGAAACTGGAAAACATAGGAAACCCCTATGTTTTGTTCCCATAAAACAGAACCAGCTTTATTCCTGGTCTCCTAATTGCCTGGGAGAGTGGGAGTGGAGGAGGCCCTGGAGTTGGAAAGACAAGGGGAGGGGAAATGAATTCTTGATGTAGTTACATAGTTGAAAACAAAACACAAAGACTTAGTAGAATGATTCTGTGTTGCTTTGCCAGGAAGTAGATTGCTAAAATGGTTTAATCCTTCATTCCCTTTTAATTCATGACCCCTTTCCTTGGTTTATGGGGTCTAGCTCATAACATTGTTTGAAGCAAGGTCTCACACTGTATCCCAGGCTGGCCTGGAATTCATTATATAGTCCAAATTAGTCTTGAACCTATGGTAATACTTTTGCCTCCATCTCCCAAGTACTGGGATTCACAGCCAAGAGCCACCACCATTGGCTCTGGTCTCATTATTTGTTTTGGGTACTAAGAAGGTTGAGAGGTTCCAAACCTAAACTTCTGAGGACCCTGCACATTGTCATTCTCAAATTCCTTCAGATACCTTGCAAGTCCTCATTGACCTGTTGATCAGTGGCAGATATGGAGGAAGTCCACAGCCTTCCTAGTTGTTCCAGCAGAGGATGACTGATCAGAAAGCCCTTAGCTGCTTTCCCCCTTTTTCCAACCTGGCTACAGGTATATGCATGAGCCCGCTGATCTATTATTCATTATTGGTAGTAAGTATTGGGGTAACTTCATACAGCAGAAGCTGACTGAAACCTGCCCAGGACATTAACATGGACACCCCAAAACTCCTGGCCAGTCCTCAGAATTTCTCTTGTTGAAGACTAATAGATCTAGAGAACAACCCCCCTCCCCCAGTTCACTTTTCCTTTGTTGTGGTCTGAGGGAAAGTTCTACAGTGATCTACCTACAGCTGCTTCCCTGACTTTAGAGTCAGGCCTTGAAGTTGTCACACTGAGTAAACCATGAATTACAGATAAAAACTCTCTTGGACTATTCATTAATGTGTATTACTATCTGCCTCAGTACCTTGGCCTAGAATTTCTTCAAGCCACCAATCTCATGTTAATTTTCCATTCATCTAGTCCTCCAAATTCATTCAATAAATATGGAGAATAGAATGCAGGAGGTTATGTCATAATGACATGGACATTTGCATTTTAGTCTTTCAAGGGAAGAAAGAAAGGGTATTTTCAAATCAGCAAATCTGACTCTAGTACTATAGAATGATTGACAGTAGGACAACACTAAAAGTAAAACTGTCTACCATTTCATTAGACTGTGTAGGTAGCCATAGTGATCAGATACTTAGAGGCAAGTAATCTAGCTATCCAAATCTTGGAGCATCTGTATGGGAATATAACAGTAATAAGCAAAAGCTGGAGTTCTTTCTAATATACTCTAATTGCTAGTATCACTGTGCTCTAATAATTTATGTGTGGCTCTGAAATACCTATAAACACAAGTAGATGCTTAAATGGATAAGGTGTCTAGAAGGAGTGTGTGTGTGTGTGTGTGTGTGTGTGTGTGTGTGTGTGTGTGTGTGTTTTGGTCAAGGAATTGACTAATTAGAAAGAATTAGATTGTGTTTTGGTCAAGCCTCTGATTTTAAAAGTTGAACATGACCAATGGAATGAGAAATATTTCACAATAGAATGATCAACATAGGCTTCATTGGAGCAGTTGTGTAAGACTGAAGCTTAGTATGCCTTTGCACTATTCACAACTGATAACATCATTGAGACTTCAAACACATATGGAGTTTGGAATGTTGCAGGCTCTGGGTTGTAGGGGGATTGCCACAGGAAATGTGGCCCATTCACAATAAAAGGAAAGGGTAGACAGCATGATTCTTTATCATGGCTTGCAGCCTCAGTGCTAGAGTCCCATCTCTGTGGACCATAGCCAGCTTATCATAATCATTTCCACTGTCTCCTAATATCTCTCTAGTTACAGAGACTCCTAACAGCCCCCCCCCCAACCTCAGTCTGTGGTATTGTATGTGGTACCACAATGCAAGTCTGTTAGTGACAGGTTGAGGATTAATTGGGTCACAGTGATGAAGAGATATTCTGTCTTCCCTCTTTGTCAGAGTCAGGAAGGGACTCTAAGAAAAGTGGGTAAGTTGAGTGAAGCATTTGGCTCTCAGCTTAGGTGACATAGGTATAAGAGTACCATTAAAGGGACAGGGTCACTGGACTTCTTGCTTCTATTTCTGGAAAAAATGTACAGCTATGTCTTCTTGTGTTTCTCTGATTAAAGAATTATAGAAAAGTCTCTGTAAGGTAACAGAACAGCTGTGACCTGAGTAGTCTGTACCTTGTCACTAACAGACTTGCACTGTGACAAGGGGATACCACAGTGACAGCCAGGTGACAGGTCATTCTGTGAGTAGAAAGGAGTCTTAAGAGATTGTAAATGATTCTGACAAGTTAGATGCAACTGAAGAGACTAGTGCAGCCACGGAGGAGATGCAAGCTAGACAAGAATCCTGCTGTATACCATTTTCCTTCTGTTATGAATGAGAGGTGTTAGTGTCAGATTTTAAACTACCCAGAAATCCCAGTTTTGAGCTGAAGATGTGCCACCTGTTCTGAAAGTCAACACTCTATCTGAGGTTGTGGGGAATGTGAGAGATCCAGGCGGGCAGCAGAGGGCAGCTGCAGCAGAGGGCAGCAAGCAGCAGACCTAGAGTGTTTCTGACATCTTCAGTCCCTCGACAAGGATACAGCCATCCACAGGCTGGCTGTAGTGAAGGAAGGTGTGGACCTTTGAGACATTTCATTCCTTTTCTTATTAGTGAAGACCTTTACTAAGGCATGATGAGAGTACCAGAAAGTGGATTTAGTAGTTCACCTCTGTAGCATGTTTCACATTCTCAGGAGTGCTGGAGAGGTGAGAAATTGAAACATGCCTAGAAGGCATTCAGGTGAAAAAAATGATTACCGGCTGCACCCACGAATGAAGGGTTCTGTGTATTCGGTACATGATATTTGCTCATATTTATTAGACATTTGCTTTACTTTCGGGGCTTTTACCTTACTATCTCATTTATAGCTTATGACAACTCTTGGGAGTGGATACTTTTTTTTTTTTTAACCCGTTCCATAGATGAGGAGTCTGAGGCACAGATGTTAAGTAACACATATTGTTAAATGTTGGAGACAGAACTGGTCCCAGATGCCAGGCTTTGCAGTTCAACATACCTGCATTTTAAACTTGTCAATATTTTGCCTATGTTGCATTTCAGTGTATACATATGTATATGTGCATGGATTTGTTTATTTTCTGTTTTACTTCATTATAACCGAAAATCTGAAAATCCATGTTTTTATATTGATTTTGTTTACCAACAGATTGCCCAGATTTGGTGTGAATACTTATTTAGAGGTAACTTCCTTTTGGAATATGGGGTATCATCACATGTCTAAACTTTTATTTTAGCAACAGCTTTGGCCTCTTACCTCTTTTCCACACGTTTTGTCTTGAAATGTGGCTGCTTTTCTTCTACAAATGATGTGTTTAATGCTCTGTGCAATCTCTGGTAGGAAGAACAGATTCATAGAGATCATTTGGAATGTGTATATCAGGGGACAAAAAACTGCTTGCAGTTTCACAGACTCTATCTAGTGGCTACAGACCTTGGCTTCTTTAACCAAAATTTCAGGCATGCATGAAATTAGGTCAACATTCAGCCACACATTGCAAGGTAACACGGATTCTAAATTACAGCTTATTATCTCTAGAAGGAGGAGAATTGCTTTGGATGATGAAATGCTTTTGGATGTGATGCAAAGTGAAAGTCAACAACTCCTGCATGGTACCAAGCCTTGTGCAGTTGTCAGAGTTGAGTCCTAAGTGACCAATCCAAGAAAGGGAAGCAGGTTTCCTGAGAATTTAACTGTACTAGCATACAACTGAGAAAAATCACTTGTCTGCAGACTTCAAGGAGACCAACAACTCCCCAGAAAGTATGGGTAATAATAGGGTCAACTGTGAGAAAATAGGTTATCTGTCTAGAAAACAAAGACAGAAACAACAACACAAAGCACAGAACAAGGCAATGAGTAACAGAGGTGGATATCAAAAGCAGAAACGTGTTCAGCCTCACTTTCAAGAGGTGAGGCAAGTCATGGAGTACCAGGATGCAGAAGGGACCCCACACTGGAGCAGTGGTAGCTCATCCACCTTACAGGGTGAGATGAAACTGCAGTTTGCTAAAGTACTTCCATCCTGACTATACTCTCAGACTACAGCATGGATGCCCACATTGGTTTCACACAGGTAGAGATGTGGGGTCTTTAATCATCTTTGTAAATTGGATGATGGTGTCTATCTTATAAGAGAAAACCTTGCTTCTGTGAGACATGGCCTCACACAAACCAGCCTTAGAACTCCTGACAGAGAAAAACAGACCAGGGAAATGGGAACACCTCAAAACAAATGGGAACTGGAGACCCTTATTAGCTTTCACCTTGGCAAGGGAAGAATCTCTGGGGAATGTGTTTTTCACGTCATCTCTTCAGATGATCTTTGTTAAGTGAAACTGGGTTCCGAACAGTTAAATTGTCTTCTATGGGTAGAAGTAGTGTTTCAGGAAAGGGAGGGACACTGCGAGTCCTCATGTTATGGGTATGTGGTTAATGGGACAAAGGGAATTACAACCCTGAGTGCTTGACCATCCCTCTCTTGGTTTCTTGCCATTTGTCAGTTGACAAACTTCCCTGGGTCTTTACCTCCCCAGGAGTTTTACGCGCAGGAACATTGGCACAAAAGTCCTGCAGAACTCACCTGACTGGTGTGCAGCCAGTATTGCAGCTTAGATTTGTTTTTGATTCTTGGTAGCAGCAGTCTGTACACTATGTGTTCACCAATGGTTGTCAAGATGGAGAGGCCAAATCCAATGCACAGCAGCACGAAGAGTCCAGAGAAATGCTTGATGCCCATTTGCAAAGTCTGAGACAAGACAGGAAAGGCCATGTCATGACACATGCAGCCCAATAGTCATTTGCTCTTTTTGGCTCAGTTTTATTTTAGCTAGAGACCCTTCCTCCCTGGGTAAACACCACTATACCCAGCCTGCAAGGACACACCCTGGGTGACTTCAGGCTGTTGCTGAGTACAGCCCTCACACATGGATGTCTCTGTGTGTCATCCCTGGAGTTGTACAAAGGCTTTACATCTGGACTATGCTTCCATTTCTTAGAGGCAGAGAAATAAAGAACTGAAACGTTTACTATGAAAGAAAGAACCTCTTCCAGGAGCAGAGAAGGAATAGATTTGAGGAAAAAAAGATCATAGGTTGAATAATCCTAGAAGTCAGATGTAGCAGAGAATGTTGGGACCCTTTACTTCAATGACTTAATTTAATAGTTGTAGAAATAAAGCAATGAGGTAAAGAAAGTTGTACCAGGCCACAAAGTGAGGCAGCTGTGGAGAAGAAGGAAAAGGATGCCACTTGCTGGCTTTTTGAGGGCAATTTTGCAGCTTTATAAGGAAACATGCTATGTAAACGTCTTTTATGACATGCTAAAAGCTTGGCTGATAGTGTCATTATCATTGATAATTAGTTGGTGCTTAATATATTACTGCTATATATATGGAGCAACCAGGAAGAATTACTGTTGAGTTTCAACATTCACATCAAATGTTCAGCAGAAACTCTAAATGAGCCATACTTTTTTTTTTAAGGTACTGTCAAGGTAAGGGAAAAATGTAATTCACATTGGGTCACCTTTCCATTAAACAGATAGCTTTCTCTCTTGTTTTCTTGTATGTACAAAATCTCATTTTTCTCATATTATCCCAATAATTAATAAGCTGTCTTGAGTTTACACATTTCTTTATTTAAACTTCTTTTATACCTATACACTAATAGGATAACCAAAGATTTTATCTTATTTTATTTTATGTATGTGGGTGTTTTGCCTGCATGTATGTCTGTACAACACATGCAAGTGTCCATGGAAGCCAGAAGTGGGTTTTGGATCACCTGGGATGGAGTTAAAGACAGATGTTCACTTCCACATAGGTTCTGGGAATCGAGCCTGGGTCCTCAGGAAGAGCAGCAACACATGCTCTTTTTTTTTTTTTTTTTCTTAATTTATTTTTTACATTTCAATTCCAGTTCCCCCTCCCTCCTCCTCTCCCACTCCCTCCACTCTCCCCTCCTCCCATATGCTCAATGGAGAGGGTAAGGCCTCCCATAGGAAGTCTACTAAGTCTGAGCTATCATCTGGTTGAGGCAGGACCAAGGCACCTCTCCACGCCCATACCCCTGTGTCTAGGCTGGGCATGGTATCTCTCCATATAGAAAGGGGTTCCACTAAGTCAGTATGTACATTAGTGTTAGGTCTTGGACCCACTGCCAGTGGCCTCATATATTGTTCCAGTCATACCATTGTCACCTATATTAAGGGAGTCTAGTTTGGTCTTATACAGATTCCCCATTTGTCAGACCTGAGTCAGTGATTTCTCACTAGCTCGGTTCAGCTGATTGTGTGAGTTTCCCCATCATGGTCTTGACTCCTTTGTGCAACACATGCTGTTAACTACTAAGCCATCTTTCCACTCCTGTCTGTCTGTCTATCTATTGTTTTTTTTTTTTTTTTTGACACAGGGTTTCACTGTTTATCCCTGGCTGTCCTCTATGTTTATTTTTAAACTAGTATTTTAATAGGCATGCTAGAGTCTATATGTGTATATTGATATAATGATCTTTTAATACTCCTTTAAATACTACTTCCATTTCACATTTGAAGTGCCTAGAGATTATGTCTCCCCAAATCCAGCACACTAATATGTGGGAAAGCCAGGCAGCAGATACAGGGTGACATCTGTGCTTTTTGTCAGTCTCTCTTGCATGTATCTTTTGATATCTGCTTTCTCACTATGTATTCTCTATAGCAACTTACCAAATTTTTTATTAAAAAATTCAGTATCTGATAGCCGGGCGTTGGTGGTGCACACCTTTAATCCCAGCACTCGGGAGGCGGAGGCAGGCAGATCTCTGTGAGTTCGAGGCCAGCCTGGTCTCCAGAGTGAGTGCCAGGATAGGCTCCAAAGCTATGCAGAGAAACCCTGTCTCGAAAAACAAACAAACAAAAAATTCAGTATCTGAATTGAAAATCCACTATAGTTTACCTGTGAGTATCAATCCAAACGTTATGTCTGAGTCTGAGTGATAAGATGTAAGGCTGAAGCTGCAAGTCAGCCTTTTTCTACTTGAGCCATTTGTACTTGTTATTTTGTCAATAATTGCCTGCACTACATTGGCCTGTGGGAAAGTCTATGGAGGCATTCTCATAATTAATGATTGGCTGTGGGTTGCACTACAGCTAAGCACATGGATTGTGTAAGAAAGCAAGCTGAGCTGGATGGTGGTGGTGCACACCTTTAATCCCAGTACTCAGGAGGCAGAGGCAACTGGATCTCTGTGACTTTGAGACCAGTCTGGTCTATAAGAGCTAGTTCCAGGACAGCCTCCAAAGTCACAAAGAAACCCTGTCTTGAACACCTCTCCCCCCCCCCCCCCCAAAAAAAAAAAGAAAAGAAAGCGAGCTGAGCAAGCCATGGAGTATAGACCGGTAACCAGCTTTATTCTGTGTTTCCTGCCTCTGCTCCTGTTTGAGTTCCTGCTCTGACTTCCCTCAGTGCTATAAAATAAATCCCTTTCTCCCCCAATTTGGGTTTGGTCAGTGTTTTATCACGGAAACAAAAAGGAAACTAGATCACTCATGTTCTTTTGAATATACTATTATGTATTTGTTTTGCACCTGCACTCCAGTAGTAGAGCACTTGCCTAACATACATAACTCCCTGGGTTTAATCTTTAGCACACAAAATGAAAAGTCAACAAATAAATTACCTGATCTTAAGTGCTTCAGATTATTCAGCCATTCTTGGTGGATTATGATACCACAATCCAGACATTATGTGTTAGCAATGTGCATACATAGATGCCTGAGTGTTTTCATGATAATTAGGAAATGTAAGTGTGGTTTTGAATTAAGTGGGAATATAGTTTGTGTTTTCCTGTGCGAGTAATGGAAAGGCTGCCACCATTGGCAAATACTGGTCATCAGAACAAACTAGATCCAGATAAAGAGAGATGCCTGTAGTCATCAAATGTGTGGTTTCTGCCAAGACCATTGATGCTTCCAGGAAATGTAGAGACCAAGACCATCAACTTTGCTGGTGCCCAAACTGTTTTATATTTTGCTCATATGGGGACACTTGGAATAGCTGATGGCCTCCAGGAAGGAATGCTATGAAAGTATTTCACTCATCATTCAAACCTAATATGTTAATGATATTCCCATGAAAGTAATCCTTCTTCCCATCCACAGGCTGTTTACAACACACAGCAACCCCTATCTCATCCTTCTGGTTCTCTACAGAGCTGTCTCTATTCATTGGTCCCAATTATTCTCCCCTCATTCTTAGACCCACTCTAGTCAGGTTATTGTCCAACTGCTTCAGTCACCTTGTTATCTGTTTTGATATATTTTTTCACTTAATTTTGGTGATACTTCTTTCTCTTGCTTCCACTTCAATCCCCATTGCAAACTCCATCTTTCTGACTGTAATTAATGGTGCAATTTCCCTTCCTTGCTGTATTTATTTTTTCCATCCAGATTTATGGCTTTAAATGCCAATGATATGTTAAAGATTACCAAGAGTTAAGGACTTTATTATTCAATACCCTACTCAGACTATTTGGGTATCCCAAAATATATCACATTTTACATACTAAAAGCAATCTCCATTGAATAGAGGTATCCTACATGGATGGATAATGCTGCTACCAGAAGCCATAAGCTAAGAAGTAAAAAAAAAAATAAAATCCCAGTGCTAGGAGTAGGATACATTTCTTTGTGTTGTTGGTAAAGGAAATCATGGAAGCCTCCCCAACAATACAGGTTATTGCCATTGTTCTTGGTTGCTCATCACAACTAGGTGATAAGACCCTATTGTCAAATACACCACACACTTAGGTTTCAGGATTTAGAGACATCAAACTGAAGCTGAACTGGAAGGTTACTCCCCGCTGGCTAGCTTTGATAGTTCTAGAAGGTGCTACGCAGGCCACTGAGCAATAGAAAGGATTAGAACCTGAATGATGTAATACTGACCTTCAAGGCAAGGTGTACCCATTGGAACAATAATAGCATGACCATTATCGGAGTAACTGTTTTCTAATTGGATTTGAAACTTTCTGTGCAAGAAGTATGTCTGGTACTGTAAACCTTGTCAGAAGCCTATGGCTGGGCCATTGTAAATGATAAGAGAACATCTACTGTTATTTTGCTAAATGGGCATGCTGATAAACTGTCGTCTTAATCTTCATGTTTTTGATTTTCAGTCTTGGTCAAGGAAGTTTCTGCTTGTAGTGGGTGCTGGTTAATACAGAATCAAAATTGTTCAGCTTTAAATGGGTTATCTATATCACCCTCTCAAATCTCTAGAAAGGTAACAAAGGGGAAATGGAAAACTATATAAGGGCCTGAAACTGTTTTCTATACATGCCATGGCAGTGATGGTTACCTGTACAAGACTGATCCCATCAACATTCCATCATGGATAAGTGAACTCTTGAGGCCCCACCTCTGAGTGAGGAGTTATAAGCAGTTCAAGTTGAGATTACTATATCCTTTCAATTTAAGACAAATACTTTTTTTCTGAAAGTCTCATATTATAGTTTATGCCTGCATGGAGCTCACTATGTAGTTCAAACTGGCAGTAGACTCATGGAAATTTTCCTGCCTCTGTCTCCTGAGTGTTGGGATTATAGGTGTGAGCTACTATGCTTGGTCCCATACAATTACTTTAAAATTCTATCTTTTCTGAACTAAGATCATTGGTATATATGTTTTCTAGAGTGGTAAGTAAGTACATGCTATTTTGTTGTCGTTTTGTTTTTAACAAATCCTTTCTAAAACAATACTTTTCCCTGG